TGCTGGCTTCAGCCCTTCGTGGCTCTCAGGGCATGGGGGCAGCTGCTTTTTGCTGACCGCTTCTTACCAGTCCCTGTGCAGCCAAAACCATGCCTGCCCTTGTCTTCGGTCCTCTCCCAGCCCTGGGGTGGGAGCTGACCCCGCCTGACCCGTCCCCAGGCAGTAGCTGTGCATCTGGGTCCCATTCCTGGGTTTTCAGTGCTCCCTATGGATGTGGGGCTGGTGGCCCTGGGGCTGGGCTGGGCACCCTCCTGGGTGCTCGGTTGGGTGCAGCCTTGCAGCACAGTTTGATATGCTGGGAACAGTTCTGGCATGGCACGTTCTCCCACCACACCCCGTTGGCAGCACCCGCCATCACCACGCGGGTGAGCGTCTCTGCTCTGGCTGTCGGCACTCCCTCTCGGGGGGTGGCTGTGGAGTGGCTGTCGGCACTCCCTCTCGGGGGGTGTCTGTGGAGGGGGAGGGTGTGATCCTGTCTCTGGGGGCTGGGGGAAGCACGGAAAGCCCTTCCGTTGGGGCTGGTCAGGAGGTGGGTTTCGGGCTGTAAAGCCATGGCGAAGCTCATGCATGGCTCCGTGTGGGATGGCACGTCACGGAGAGCCGCTCTCCCGGGCCTGAACTTTGCTTGAGGTGATATGGGAGGCTCAGGGCTCCAAACAGATGGGTGGGAAATGGAGTATCCAGGCTCGTGGCAGAAGGGCAGCCTGAATATGCATGGCCATGATGGGAGACGCGTGTTCCCGGCCACGTGCCTGACGCGCCCCGTCCATTGGCCCAAGGCCCAGGAGAAGCAGCGCTTGGCAGAGCAGCTCTCGGGGCTGAACGCTGCCCACGCTGAGGAGGTGCAGTGCCTGCGGGCTGAGATGCAGCAGCTGCGCGAGGATGCGGCCCGTGACGCCCATGTCCAGCAGCTGCAGGAGCGGCTGGCCGAGCTGGAGAGGCACAGCATGAAGAGCCGCCTGGGTCAGGAGGTCGAGGAACTCAGGCAGGTCTGTCTGGGGGATGCTCTTGCTCTGCTGGGGCTCCATGGGGCTCCCCAGGGACCTGGCAGTATGCTGAGCTTCCTGCCGTGGGGTGGTCCCGGGAGGAGACCTCCGGCAGCCGGGGCTGGCCCGGGGCAGGGCTCCGGCTGTACCTGCCCCTCCGCTTTCCTGCAGCGCTTGGCGGAGGTGGAAGCCATGAAGCTGCAGCTGGGAGAGGAGAGGGATGCCCTGATCCAGCGCACGTTGGAGCAGTCGCAGGATCTGGAAGGTAAGAGGGATCCTCCAGTCCCCTCTTCCCATTCCCAGCCCAGTATGGACTGGTCCTGCAGGCTTGATGTGTTCCTGCGTGTTCCCTCCCAGGAGGGTCCTGGCTTTGCCCGTCCCCACTCCCTGCTGTGTCTGTCCCCACAGAGCAGCACCGGCGTGCCGCGCGGGAGAGCCAGGGACTGCTGCAGGAGCTGGAGGAGGAGCGGGCGCGCTACCAGAGCCTGGTGCAGGAGTATGCCCGCCTGGAGCAGGGCTATGAGAACCTGCGGGATGAGGTGGCCTTCCACAGGGTGAGGGGCTGGCAGGACGCAGGGGCATCCTCTCCCTCGCTCCCTGCGGGGAGCAGGCAGCCCTGGC